GAAAATAATATTTCCCACGGAGGACGAGAAATTTAAACCGCAATTTGAAGCGTGCGCCTTAGATAGGATAGAGAATAGGATAAAGAAGATCCTGAACTGCATAGGTGACGTCGAAGGGTAAGTACTGAACGACATACGCGTAACGTGTACGTTCGCTAGTAATAGTACGTGTGGCGAAAACGTCCTCGATCTGTTTGAACCAAACTGTAGGGTCACGAACCTTGTACGGGGGCAGCTTAATAGCAATCTGAAAAGCATTAGGTTCATCCCGATCGACTGATGCGTAGGACCTAGTAGAAACAGAATCGTCTAAATCGATTTCGTAAAAAGGTTGATCTTCTTCTGCCATGTCGAGAAATGTGTGAACGGCAAAATCGAACGTGAAAAACAGGTAAATGGAATGAATAGCAAAACGTGTGTAACAGTAAAAACGGGGTCACAAAATTTTTAGAGGATAAGTCTCTACAAATATATAAAATGTCTTCGTAAAGATGCCACGAAAAACTTTCTAGTGTAGAGCTCACTGCTACTGACTAATCTACCAGACTACACTAATGGAAAACGGTGTAAAAGCTGTACACAAAAATAAAAATGACAATTAAGAACGATACGACTCACTTAGATCCCCCACGATCCTTGCCAGCAGTAGCCCAGAAATTGACTTGCCAAAGGATGGATTCGTGAATGCTGGGATCTCTATTCGTCGATTTGAAACCAGGAGAGTCGAGAGGAATCTCGCTTGCAAATCGGCGTTAGATGCTTCTGAGCCCGGGACTGATCACCTGAGAATGGTGTCATTGAAGGGCAAAGAAAACAGCGGCCGGTGGGGTTGGAATTCTGAGAGCTGTGAAGTGATGTAAGCAACGTGTGCTAGAAGGCTGCACGCCGTACTAATCGAAAGTGTATTTTTCGCGCGGCTTGCGTTAAAACAAAAAACCAAAATTAAGTAAATTTAAACAAACGTACAGATGAGGCTAAGGGCCTACACATGCTGTTGGGAAACCTGTAATACGTGCACACGCAACTGCCAGTAATGAAGAACCTAACAATTGAACGTGTAATTCACATCGCTGAAAATATAGACGGTGGGGTTTCCCTTGTGGTAGGTGAGCAGACCATCCGAGACATAACCAGTCAGCATTTGGCATACACGCACTACACGTTGCTGCGAGCTTCTGCTATGACCGTCTCGTCAGAGTTAAAAAGGCAAGATGTGATATTAACGCAGTCGTTGACAGACCTGTGCGGTCTATAACACTGCTTACATAGCCTATACAGACTCTCAGTCTTATTTTTCGTATTGTCGCCGTACGTTGGGATGGTAAGTTGAGCGTAAAGACCTAACCCACATGTATACCGTAGGCAT